AGGGGAGGGGAGGGGAGGGGAGGAGGGAAAGATACAGATGTCAAGGTTGTAAAATGATGGGGACCTCAATTTGGATGGTGGCATTAGAATGGGAAGTAAAGAACAAGTTCACAATGGGTCACAAAGCTAGAAGTGACAATCCTTCTAATCCTTAGCTGAAAAATGGCCTTCAAATACATCCATGTCCTAATCCCCCGAACTTATGAATATGTTTCCTTATAAGGGAAAATGGACTTTGCAGATGTGATTAAGGATCTTGAGATGGGGAGACGATCCTGGATTATTCAGGTGGGGCTGATATAATCACAAGGATCCTTATAAGCGGGAAGCAGGAGAGTCAGAGTCAGAGAAGACGATATGACAATGGAAGCAAGAGTTTGGAGTAACATAAGGCAAGGGGCATGAGCCAAGGAATGCAGGTAGCCTTCTTGAAACTGAAAAAGGCAAGGAACCACGAACATTCAGAAGGAACACAACCCTGCCAAGTCCTCGATTTAGACTTCTGATCTCCAGAACTATAAGCTAATACATTTATGTTGTTTTAAGTCACTAAAAGTTTGTGGTAATGTGTAAACAGCTGATCCATCTCCTTGCTTCCTGAAGGCGGCCCCAGGTAACTGTAGGTTCAATGCTCCTCTTTTTAAATCAAAAGGAGTTTTTTCTTTTTGGAAAACAGGCCACTGCTGCAACATGTGTCCTTGGAAGGCAAACGAGGATGTTGGCCAGGAAAAGAGAGCCTGTGTGAAGCCTTACCTTTCAGAAACATGGAGATGTCTTCGAGTTGAGGCACGTTGTCCTCCCTGTAGCCACAGTATTTACTCAGCAGAGGGAAGTTTTTCAAATACTCCCGGCAAGCGTGAGTGGGATAGAGTTTGGAGAGCTCCCGGAACACAACACCCCAAGTTTTAGTTTCTTCCTCTGTGTACTCCACCCTGGGGATGGGCTGACCGCTAGGCAGAAGAGAAGACAAATGAGTGAATCTAGCTCTGGGTCACTGAGTTGAGTGTCTTCTCACCTTCATATCTATCACAAATCAGATTCTTACAAAGTGGGACACCTGAGTATCTAAGAGGATCCCATTAAGTATTTCTTTTTTTTTTTTTAGTGTATTTTTCCAGGACCCATCAGCTCCAGGTCAAGTAGTTGTTTCAATCTAGTTGTGGAGGGCGCAGCTCACAGTGGTCCATGAGGGGATTGAACTGGCAACCTTGTTGTTAAGAGCACCGCGCTCTAACCAACTGAGCTAACTGGTGACCCCTACATATTATTTTTTTAAAGTAAGTGCTGACCTTCTAAAGTTGTGTGTGTGTGTGTGTGTGTGTGTGTGTGTGTTCAGACTTCCCTAGAAATGATTTGATTAAGTTACATCTTCACACATCCTTATGGAAATTTGATGATTTATGTTCTTACTATGAGATCAGTAACAAGTAAGAGTTCTGGGTTGGAAAAAGCTGGGTTCGGTACAAAGCTATGCTCTGAGAGCCTTATCTGCAATTACCTGACAACAGTAATACATGGATATTGTCTCATGAAAATAAAATCACCTGTGGGTTCTCTTTGTCCCTTGTGGGGCATTCACCCCAATCTGTAACCTTGAGACTATTTGTTCAGTGAACAAAATGTCTGGGAAATAGTAAAAGATTACACTGAGTTTAAAACTGAGAGTTTTGCAAACTGCAGAAAAGGAACATTTATTACACGTCATGCTAAGAGGCGCACACATTAAGCCCTCTCAGTTTAGGAGAGGGGTCTGCAAACTTTTTCTGTAAAGTGCCAGAAAGTAAATATTTTAGGCTCGTGAGCCATACAGTCTCTGTGACAACTGTTCAATTCTGACACTGTACCTTGAAGGCAGCCATGGACAATATATAAACAAATAAACATAGCAGCTATGTTCCAATAAAACTTTCTTTACAAAAACAGACAGTGTGCTGGGTTTGGCCCCTGAGCAGCAGTGTGCTGGCGCCTGGTTTAGACTATTGAAAGGTGGCCCTGGACTGGAGTGATCAGGGAGAGATTCCTGGAGGAGACACAATGTAAGCTGGGCCTCGTTGGCCAGGTATGATCTGCAAGTTCCCAGGCAGAAAGAAAGGTGAGAAAAAAACGCTGTTCTAAAAGCAGGCAGCAGCCATGAGCAGGGAGCAGAAGTCCTGATGCAACCTGGGACCAGTAGACAGAAGGGAACAGGGACATGTGCTTTTGCAAACTATTGCTTGAGGGACCCAGAATCTGAATTTAGCCTCTGATTCAAATACCTATTTGGAAAGTGATATTCGGGTTTGAGAAAACCTCTCGTGACATCCTCAGCAGCCACGTGCAGCACTCCCCTTTGCCTACCCTGGCCACTCATCAGAAATTCTGCCCCTGTGGTCACACATATACACACACAGCATATGGAAGTCCAAATACATACACATACAACTAGGAATGCTGCCCTGGCCATCTAAGTAACCCAGCCTGTAGCCGCAGCCACCAGGGGAGCCCAGGCACCGGCAGTAACTGCCACTTGGGATTGTTGCCACTGAAGTGCACCTTCCACAGCTGGGGCCATTCCGGAGCTCCCCCTGAGGCAGTAAACCCGGGAAGGAGGATGAGAGCAATTGCAAGAGTAGGCTAGCCAACAGATCTCCCGCTCCCAACCCTCCACATACCTCAGTGGTCATGCCAAAATGCTTTCTGTTTCAAGTTCAGGTCCAAATGTGGTTCCCACTGCCCCAAATTATTATTTTTTAATTAACTGCAGCACATGAGGGAGGGGGGAATAACACACATGGAATAAAGAATCAGAACTTAACATTTGCTTTCTCTAAGTACCAAGGCCATAGGGCTTATACAAACCAAATGAGAGCAAGGTTAGCATTGTTTAAATTGGGCTGTTGATAACAAATTAAAAAAAAAAAACGACAACCTGACATATAGTTGCTGAGAAGATGAAGACTGCTAACACTTGGCACCTGTGATGAATTTAGAATGAAAGCTTGAAATGGAAAGACAAAAATAGAAAGGACATAAAAAAATAAATATATAAATGGTCAGCCTCCAGTTCCAGAAAATTCAAAGAAATCAATGTGAGCCAGGTAAGCCAATAAAACTAATAAGGGCTGTGCCCCGTCAGAAGGTAGAAAAGTGATGAGGCTGAAACAATAAGTGAAATATTGAGCAGCCATTTGAAAAGAATCGTGAGGTCAAACTTTTCCCTTCAGGATCAATCTGCAAACATGCAGCATTTCAAACCGGAGCTGAATGTAGGCAGCAGGAAGCGGCAGAAGGAAAACAAGTGTGAGTCAGGGTGGAAAGAAAGCACTACATAGTGCTGGTTCTTAGTCATGGATGCACAGTGTCACAATCTTGGTAATGTGGGCGGTAATGTATATTCTCATTTGTTTCCGCTTGTCCGTCCCACCTGAGTAACTCACTGGCCTGCTCTTTGAGTTAATGGCCCCGGCAGTATCATACTCCTACCTTGATCGATCGCCGGTAAGTCTAACTCCAATCAGATCAAGGGATTTCTCACACCGCTCTAACCCAGCTGCCACTCCCCCACCCCCATAACTCTTTAAGGTAAAAGTTTAAAAATCAGCTTTACCACAAAGTAAAAACGAGTTTTATCCATTTCATTTCTATTTAAAATATTCAAATACAGAAAAAGTAAGATTTTTCCCAGTTGTTGTTTTTTGGGTTTTTTTTGTAGTTAATACAGGTATATACTGGTAGCTCATCTTTGAGAGCTTACTATGGTGGCAAACGCTTTCTAAGGTTGTTTTTACATGATTTAACCCATTTGAGTCTCACAACAACTCCATGAGGTGGACACTATTATTATCCCCATTTTACAAGATGAGGAAATTGAGGCTCAGAGAGATTAAGCCATTTGCCCAAAATTATGGCGCTATCATCTAAGTTAATTAGTATATACCAACAAAATAAAAAATTTATTCCAGACACTAACCTATTTTCACATGCCAAACTAAAATAAGGTTTATAGGTATGTGCATTCATTCATACAAAGAAAATCTCATAGACAATCACATGTAAACATGATGCTGGCATGTATTTGTAGATCACATACTTCTGTAGATACTTTCATATCCATTCACTCATTTACCCTCCTCAGTAAGAGAGGGATGTTAGTTCTGGTTTCCTCAACAAAATGAACATGTGCTTGGGGAACAGGAATGCAGGGGCAGCCATGTGTTTTTTCAAAACTTTGAAATTTGACATTTGGAAAAATAAAAATCATAGTCATGGGAAAAATGCATTGTACTCCTTTGTACTTATGGGTTGGTGGGTTTCTTGTGAAGTATATACAAGAAGGATGACAGAGGGGTGTCCTGATCTTTTGAGGGCCCAGAATATATACCCATATATTGTTATGCATCTACCTATGCCTACATGTTATAATGTGCACATTACAGATGTCATATTCATATTTCAGCATCATAAAACTCTCTTCTGACCCCAAACTAAAGTCACTTAAGTACTCCACATTCTAGAAAAATCCCCCAGCAATTGCAGCCAGCCATCTCCCTGCAGGTCATGTTAAGTGGCAGCAAAAATGGCCCTACCACCAACAAACTCAAACTCCTCTCGTACCACCCTCCCCACCCAGTCTAACAGGGAACAAGAGATGCACAGGATTGTGGGGAGGCCAGGGTTCAGGGAAAGGGCAGGTTCTTTCCCCATCTCTAAGTGAGGAGGGCAGGCTCTGCCATGAGACTCATCTATAAGCACTGAGGATGCCCATGAGAAGTGGGGTCTGGCATCTTGCTTCCCAGCTGGACCCTTGCTGAGCAGCAGGAGTACAGATGCTCCCTGGAGTTGCCAGCAGCAAGGAACAGAAACAGACAGTCCTGGGAGAGGATCTGAAAGCCTAGGAGTATGACACACGTGGGGGAGAAGAGGGGACCCTCGCCATGTATCCTCTGAAATTTGAGGTTCACATGATCATGGAGCCTGATGCCCAGCGAAACATAAAGAATTCCATGGGACCCAACGAAGTCTGCCTGGGAGGAAGATGGCGAAGGCCCACCCCTCCAGTTCTGCTCAATTCTCAGGAGGCAGAAGAACGTTCCAGTGGTTCCTATCACACCTGGTGAGGAAGCCTTGAAGCACAGGTGCGTGAGGAGGGCCCAAGTCATGGCGTCCCCAACCTGGACAAGGGGTTGGTGGTATAACCACTAATAAAACCAAAGGGGGGCAGGGAGCATCTCTGCAGGGGTGGGGGTGAAGGCAATGGTCCTACCCCAAGAAGAACACACAGAACACTATGCAGAAACTATTTCAACAGAGACCACCCCATCGGAAAGAACCTGTCTGAACCAGGGTGAGTGTGACCTGAGGCCTGCCCACCTTTGACTATCTAACAGTCCAGTAAAAAGCCCTCAGCCTGCTGCTTCCCTCCTCTTAGCCCCAGCTCCAGAGGAACTAGGTTCTAGAAGAGGGAAGGAAAATTATCTCATTACTAGAACGCGCACACCCACAAAGGCACACACACTCTACAAATAACTGAGGGGGAGAGAGGATACACTGTGAATCAAGTTGAGATTAATCTTCTTTTTAAATGAACTGGACTGTATCTTAAATACTATAATGAGACTATACTAATACAAATGGGACTATACTAATAATTGAAAATGACAGGAAATTAGACGTTGCTAAGGAACTAGCTTCCCAGCAGGAACATAGGCTCCGACACAATACAGTTGAAAAGAGTGAGTGGAGAAAATAAAGCCATTTTATGCAGGTATAAACCCCAACAAGATGCGACTCCTCAATAAACTAATTACCTATAAACATTATCAGGAGATCTCTAAGGAGTTCCGCCATTTATACGGAATTAGTTGGGATCCGGAATTCTCAACAACCACCAAAATTATTATTCACAGATTCCTAATTCACTGGAGAAGAACAGACGTCACTGTCAGTAGTTTCCAATTCACTGCGGATTCTG